CAGTCCTGGCTGAGTGGTCAGAGATTTGGCTGTGGGAAGGAGGGGCTGTCGAGGGCTCACTGTGAACCTCCGAGGGGCCCTGGTTTGTGCCCCCTGCCCCTCTCTCAGAGGTTTCTGCCGTGCAAACAGGGACAGCTGAGTGGGACTTGTCCCTGCCCCATCCTCAGCCTGGCACGGTCAAGCAGACAGCAACTGCCCCAGGGTTACTGCCAGGTTGTGTGGCAGAGAGGGAACTGCAGGACCCAGTGCCACTTGGCTGTCCCTGCTGGGAAGGAAGGTGCCATCCAGCACTGGAGGAGCAGGGCATGGAAAGGTAGACACTGCTCGGTCTGCCTGTGGAAATTAGCACAGTGCCTGTTTTTCAAAAAGAGGCACCTATGAGGCTTTGGAGTTTCCTGAAAGGTAGAAACCCCAGGGACAGAAAGCACCATTTCTAGAGCAGTGGCGGGGAAACAGTCCCATCAAGTTTAGACACCAGAATTCACGGATGAGTGGGACTCTGGGCCAGGTTTGCCTGTGATGGCAAGGTTCTGCACATGAAGATGGAGGTGCAGATGATCCCATCTTCTGGGTCTTTCTAGGAAGCAGAGGAATCCTGAGTGAGTCTGTGAAGCTCTGAGCTTGGAAAGTCATGGTTTAATGCTTTTTGTTGTTTTTTTTCCTTTGGACAGCATCCATTTGTAACATCAGCCAAGCCAACATCCTCCCTGTCACCACTCGTCATTTCATTGAAGAAGAAGAAGAAGAAGTGTGACAGAAGACACTGTCTTCATAACTAGTGTAGAGTAGAACTGTAGTGTAGGATTGACGAGTAGTTTTGTAAAGTAGGATTTTCAGGTAGTAGGATTGTAGAGTAGGATTGTCAGGTAGTAGGATTGTAGTGTAGGATGTAGTGTAGGATGGTAGAGTAGGATTATAGAGTAGGATTGCTGAGTAGGAGGACTGTAGTGTAGGATGTTGTGTAGGATTGTAGAGTAGGATTGCAAATAAATAAAGTTTTCTGAAACATCAACTCATTTGGAAGATTCTCCTCCTTCTGACTCTTTCAGAAATCTCAAGGAAACTATATAGTTTAACGGGTGGAAACTTGACCCTTGCAAGAGAAACAATGGATTGGTCAATGGGTGGGCAGTTAACTTTTGAAAGAGGAACAGTTCATAATGGAGGCATTGTTGGCATGGAGTCGGTATTCTGAGCCATCGTGCTCATCTCATGTGCCGGCCATGTGGGAGCTGATGCTGTCACTGGGAAAATTCCACTCCTGAGCAGGAGATACAAGACCTGGTTCTGGGCTGGAGGAGTGAGAAGGATGAGATGCCGACTGTTTTGATGCAAGGGATGTCCTGAAAGTGCACTGCCTACCTGCCCCTCCCACCGGGCACCATGCTTCACCTCCTTCTCCTGCTCAGCGCGTTTTTGGGAATCCAGGGGTTGGCATGTACTATGTGCTACTGCAAGTAATAGAATAAATTTGCTTTGCAACCCCGGTTGGGTCTTGGCTCTCTACCAGAGAGCCTCAGGACAGCCCTGCTCTCATGTCAATAAATTCTGAGAAGTGATTTAAATATGTCCATTAATTTGGGGCAGTGTTTAGCCTGTGAGTTTCAGCAAAGTATTGAATATGTCTTAGTTCCATGGATACAAACTAGTAGGTGAGATTGCTACGTGTGCACAAGTTAGGGAAGGGATTCCCCACACACCCAGAGCAGAACTAAAATAATGCCTCCTTTCTAACCCTGAGCTGGCCGTGGGGATTGGACCCTGCTTGGTGACTTTAAATTTGGCAATTTCTATTGAGCAGGTAGGAAAAGTCCAAATGAAACCTGTTCCAGCTGTTTCCTGTTGCACCCCAGGAGCTGGTGGGGGAAGTTGTTAGTAAGATGCTCTCGACCTCTGCTTACAGAATGTTCTCTGTAGTCTTGTAATAAATGGAATTGATTCATGCTGACTGAATTGTAACTATTTGGAAAGTTGTTATTAGAAGCAATCAAAAGAATCAGTGTACAAGGCAGATGTACCCCTCCACAGATGTTACATGTTAAAATTGAGGTACAAGATGTAGTTTGGAAGGTAAGTGATGTCCCAAGATGAAAATGGCCTCAAGATGGACAAAATTAGAACGACTTCAGGCATAGGGCGTAAAAATCATTAAATGTAAGACTAATCAGTAGACCTACCCAACACAACACTCAGTACACATGCGCAAACCTGTGAGGCCATGCAGAGGACAGCGAAGATGAGTGTAAGCCTTTGTCCAAAGACCCCCAAAAGAAGACTGGAGACTCCCTAACAGCAAATGAGGCATGAACCGTGAAGAATAATGAAATAAAGTCAGAAAAATGGGAAATAGGAGGAAACTTTTGGGATACATTAATGAATATGTATAAGCATACAGTATGTAAGTTTAGCTTGAAATGCTTTGTTTTGTACGTGAGGCAGGATAAGAAGCCCCCTCCATACCCCGGTCGGTTTTGCTTATGCTTTAATCATACTTAATTACTGGCAAATTGTATATATAAATTGCATTTTTTGGCTAACTTGTATTTATTTACTAAACTGTATTCTTTTATGCTAAATTACTATTCAATTTACTAAATTGTATTCATTTTTAATTAAACTGCTGTTAACTCAAGGGACCTAGTTGTCGAAATCTAATTTCATTTATAACAGTCCCCTGTGGTGTTTTATGTACCCCAGTTACAGCATTCTACTTATGTTATTCCTTGTCCCCAGCAAAGAGTTATGTCATCCCAGGAATCCACTCCAGTTCTAGGATGTTCCCTGCTTTTGTTTTCCCTGTTGGTTCCCATTCCCTGTCACTCCACCAAGACCCTGGTTGGCTGTTATCCCTCGGCTCCACCTCTGCATCAGTCCTGTGCCCTCAACCCATTGGTCCTCAGTTCTGATGTTCTGCCCTTCCCTGTCTGTGGATAACTTCAGTCCCTGCTTTGTTCTGGGTTCTTTGTCCCTGGTTCCGTTCTGTGAGAGATCAGTAGACTCCACAGGACTGCCATACAAAGAACCAGAGTGAGCTCTCAAACACGAATTCCGCCCCTGTGATGTCCCAGAGCGGCCGTCCAGCCGTGCCAGACCTGCCGGCTCCCGGCTCTCAAACTGCGTCAGTGAATCTGCGTCAGGAATCGCCAACCCGCCCCGCTGCTTGTGTTCCCTCCTGGTTTGTACTCAAGAGACCCTGCGCCTGCCGTCCCTCTGGCTGATTCAAAGCCTTCAGTGAACCCCCCCTCCCCGTTTCCTCCACTCCTCTCCTCTGTCCCTGAAACCCCCTGAGTCTCAATCCAGCTTCCCAAGCCCTATCGCTGCTCCGCCTGGCTCGGATCCCTCCACACAGAGAGCTCCTGCTCCTTTTTCCCCTGCACCTCCCCTCTCCCCTCCCCGTCTCCTTCGGGAATGTTTCATCCAAGGTAAAACCTAACCCGTTTATCTCACCCTGCCTTCCCTCTTTTAACCAGTATGTAACAGCGCCTCAAAGGGCGGGTGATGGGGGGAAGTTGTTGCTGGTGACACAAGGAGTTTTCAGACTTTTTCTGGTGTTCGAGCGGTGCCAGCCAGTTCTTGTTACGCTAATGGAGAGGGGGAGGTCAGACAGCTTGGTCAAATGCCTCAGGCTGCATTTACAGGACAGGTCACTGTTTCCAGCTTAGAGGAAGCTAGGAGACTGTCTGCGATTGCTGTACAATTGTCTGACACAGGAAACAGCTCAGATGATGGTTTTGGTTTACCTGACTCTGGTGCCACAAATTTAACACTGAACCCTGAATTTTTGTCATCCAATCCGGAGACTGCCTCAGTTTTGGCAAAAACTGGGGACCCTTCAGGGACAAATTTGAAAATGAATTCAGTATGCTTAACTGACTGGTTTGATATCCGACGAAAGTTCAGACAGGTTAATGATTTTGATTCTTTAAATGGTCAGCTTCTAGCCATGCTAGGTATGGTAGAAAAAATTCAAATCCTCAATATGAAACACTATCACACTATGATTTCAAAGAACTCAGACAAGCAATAAAAGATAGTGGGCTGACTTCTCCATATTTTAATAATGTAGTGAAAAGTATTTTTAATTCTTATAAGCTGGTTCCAGCAGATTACTGTAACGTGGCTTCTATGATTCTATCTAATTCACAATACATCTTAGGGGACTTAGAGTGGAGAAAACTTCTCAATAGAATAATAGAAGATTATGTGGGTGGTCCTTATGCTCAATTAACTGTTGCTCAATTAGCTGGTGATGCACCACATGGCAGGCCAGAGGATCAGGCAGTTTTACTGCCTAGGCCTGGGCTTAGAGATATGAAAAAATGCTGCAAGAAAAGCTTTGCTCACTGTTGAACGGGCAGGTAGTCATGCAAATGTTTATTCTACAATAATGCAAGGCAAAACTGAGCCCTATGGTGCTTTTCTAGATCAACTAACACAAGCTGTCAAAAGGCAATGCCCTGATGAATAGACTAAGCCTTATATTCTTAAAAACCTTGCTTTTCCTAATGCAAACGAGCAATGCAAGAAGGTTATTTTAGCTTTACCTGACCAGCCCCCAACTATTCCTCAAATGCTTTCAGACTGCAGTCAACATAGCACCCCACAGCACCTTGCTAAGGTACAAGCTAATGCTCTCGGGGAACAGATTTTCAAATCCCAAGATTTATTGGGAGAAAAGCTGGGAGATAAACTCGAGAAGGTTTTGAAAGCTCTTGTGACTGTGCAAATGGATACAAAAGTCAAGGAGCTTTGTTTTAACTGTGTGTTGGGGGTTAGGTGTTTTTTTTTGAGTTCTGGCTTGCCTGTGGAATTTTTACTTATTAGTTTTGGGGACAACCTAACTGCGGGTGGTACTAGGTGGGTGCTTGAGAAAAGAGAAAGAGTTTAGCCAGGCCCAGGGGGGGAAGGGGGCAGGAAAAAAAGGAGGGTGGGGACAGTTTGGCAGGCTTCTTCAGCTTTGGAGAAGAACACTTTAGGCACAGAGCTGTTGCGGTGGGGAGAAGGGAATTTTGCCATCACCCAGACGGAGCTGCTGCTGCTTCTCCTTCTTCCCTCTTTGTTGATGGCCTCGCTCCCCCTGTCCTGCCAGGACGTGTGGCAGTGCCAGGCACCGCCACGGAGCTGCTGATACACCTCAGCCAC